AGCCCAGGCCCCTGGCAGGGACGCTGAGCTGCTATGGTCACGAATAGTGTTAACTCTGCCACGTGTCACACACCACGCCCCAGGAACAGCTGTAACCTAGACTCGTGGCAATGCAGGGCTGGAAGGGACCTGGAGAGGTCACCTAGCCCAGCCCCTGGTGCTGGGGCAGGGCCTAGACCATCTCTGGCAGGGGTTTGTCCAATCTGTTCTTACAAACCTCCAGTGACAGGGATCCCGCAGCCTCCCTTGGACCAGGTCCAGAGCTTCACTGCCCTGAGACTTAGAAAGTGTTTCCTCATCTCCAGCCTCAGTCTCCCTTGCTGCAGCTTGCACCCATTGCTCCTTGGACAGGCCCTCGCCCTGCCCGCTGCGGGCACTGGGGGTGTCACCAGGTGTGAGCATCGCTGTTATCGCACTGAATGGCTGGGGGCGCTGGGCTGGCTCAGGGGGGCAGTGAGGGAGCTGGGGCCTTTCACTCCCCAGTCACCGATCTCAGCCCAGGCTCAGAGTCCGGCTCCCAGTGAACAGGAGCTCATGTCATAATTCTTGTCAACGGCAGCCTGACCGGCCACCTCCGCAGGGAGGCCAAGGCCTGAAGGGGCCGCAGGGACGGTTCCTCCCCAGGGAGAGGCTCCAGCAGGTGTCAGGGCTGAGCCACGTTGGCAGGACAGTGCGGGGCTCATATGGCCGCTGTGACACCCTCGTACCCTCGCTACCCAGAGCTCCAGCAAGAGGGGTGTAAACCCCACTTGTACCCCCAGCACTGAACTCACTGACACTCACTGACACTGCCCCAAGGCCCCCGCTCCTCCCGAGGTTGGGGGGGGTGAATAAATGGCACTGGAAGAGAGGGGCCAGGAGACCATGGCCCCATCACTTTTACTGATAGGAGGGCTAGGTCTCCCACTTTTACCGGCTGTAAGGGCTAGCGATGAGGGGCGGGAGGGGGCAGAGAGGAGCTACCATGGGGCCAGGGTGTTGGGGGGAAGAGGCGGTGCGGAGGTGGAGTCTTGGGGAGAATGGGCGGTGCGGGGGCGGGGTCTTAAGGAGCTCCCGGAGAAGGACCCACATGGGAGGGCGGGGCCATGGTACAGGCACTGGTGGCCCCTCTACTTTTAGGGAGTTTCCATCACTCCTGGGGAGAGGACCATCCCGGATCCTGATCCACGGGCACATCTGTGTATTTGCCGGTTGCACAGAGCTCTCCAGGTGGAGACACTTTCTCACTGACCCAGGAATCGGTGCTGGGAGGCCCCACTGCCCAGGAGGCCAAGGGCTCTCGCTCCCCTGCCCTGCGGGTGAAGGGAGGGGCCCAGGGGCTGCTGTTCCCTGTCCCAGGAATGGGGTGAAGGGGACGTGGACACAGACAATCTCGTCGCTTGCGCTGTGAGGGGCAGACCTGGCTCCACGCTGGGCTTCAGAGCCTGAGCTCCAGCCTGAGCCTGAACGTCTACATGGCTATTTTTAGTGCCAAAGAGGGAGCCCCACAAGCCTGAATCTGTCCACCCTGTTCGGAGACTCGCTGCCGCGGGCTGTGTACATGAACCCAGAGTGTGTCCAGAGTCTGGGTCTGAAAGTTCCCAGCGCGTCTGATCCAGGGCTGGTTAATGAGAGGAAGGCGGGTGGCTGGCGCAGTCGTTAGATGGAGACACCGGGGCCCCTGGGGCTCTGGGACGGTCTCTGTGACCATTGTCTGCTCTGGGAGACGCCCAGGTACAGCTGCAGAGGGTCTGTGCCACCAGCATCGCCCATGGGACAATCGCTCTGGGCAGAGTTCAGGCTGATTTGTGGGCGTCTCCATTTTCAGCCTGATTTTGGGGGCGAGATCAGGGGCTCAGGGGGAATTTTTTTACCCAGGTCAAATTAAATAGCAGCTCTGGAGTGTTTCATAGCTGATGTCCTGAGTCTGACCTGCCCGTAACTTTGCGTTTCTGGGGATGTTGAGAGTCACTCACTGCAAGTCACTGGGATTTGGGCTCCTCAGTTGCTCAGACAGGTTTACAGTGAAGCTGGGTGAAATGTTTTGGACAAATACTTTATTTGCTGCAAAATTATATTTTGGGTCGACAGAAACGATTCACGAACCCCTGTCGAGTTTGCTGACGAGTTTCAATGAACAGAAATGTGCCGCCGCTTCCCTTCCAGCCTTTAGCCCCATGGCTGGGCCCCCAGCGGGGAGTCCCCGGTTCAATCCCCCCATGGGACGCCATGAGGGCTTGAGCTGCTGGGCTCTGGGGGTCTGATGACGTCCCCCTGTGTCTAAATATTGCCCTGGGCACTGGCCAGAGCGTGGGAGCTAGGCTGACTCTGCAGCCCAGGGTGTCGGGCCCCGACCTGGGAGACGCAGAGTCCAACCCCCCTACTCCAGTCACCCTGTAATCATTGATCCATAACCCCAGTGACGGGAGGGGTTACGGCCCCTGGCACACCAGTGTCTCAGGCCATGTCTGCCGGGGTTTCCTTGCATCGGTGCAAACCCCCAGGGTAGACTGGCTGTGCGGATGTGAACTGGGACTGGCGCTTGGTGCAGCTTCTCCCAGATGGAGGGGGCAGTAAGTGGGGAAATGCCCCCTCCCCTCCCCACTGTCCTGGCCTCATTAGCAACAGCCTATTAGTACGCATTTGCCCCCCCCCCAACCCCAGAATCCTCCACTGCACGGCCGCCCCAGTGAGCCCAACCCAGAGCACTGCCCCATGGCAGACGGGCTGGGCCAGGAAAGGGGCGGGGCTGGCTGTGGGGTTTGCCTGGCTGGAAGGTGGTGCCCATGGGGCCCGCCAGCATGGAGAGTCCCAGCTGCGCCCCCTAGGGCAGGGCTGCATCCCCAGTGTGTGTGGGGCCAACACCAACCTGCTCTTAGTGAGAAACCAACCACACATGACCCCAAAGCAAGAGAGATTCCCTGGGGCCTGCCTCTCCCTCACCCCTCTGGCTCCTGCCCCTCCCTTACCCTTTTCTCACCCCTGTGCCCACCTGGACCCTGTGTCTATTCTGACCCCTCCTCCTCGCCCCTCCCCTTCTTCCCACCCACTTTCTGCTTCCCCAGGCCGCTCTGTCCCCTACTTGGCCTCCCTGGCATGTGCCCCTGCCTTCCACCCACCTCTGCCCCACCGGAAACCCCCCTTTCTTCCCCCCTGCCCTTCTGGCACCTTTCCCTCTCCCCCAAACATCCTCTACACCCTGGAGCCTACCCATCACTTCACACCCCCGCTATGTCCTGGCATCCACCTCTCCCCTTTCCCTCCTCTGCTGCCAGGTCTCCCACCCCTTCCCTCATTCACATCTGCTTCCCTGGTGCCTGCCACTGCCCTCACCCCCTCTGTCCCCTGATGGCCGTCCCACCCCTCACCCTCTTCTGCTGTCCTGGCTTCTGCCCTTCTTACTCCCCTCAGCCCTCCTGGCACCTGCCTCTCTCCCCACCCTCTCTGACCCCTGGCACGCACCCCTTCCCTCACCCCCCTGTGCCCACCCCTCCTCTAGCCCCACTCTGACCCCCCGGCACCTGCCTCTCCCCAATGTCGTCTCCTAACACCTCCCTCTACCCACCTGCCCCTGCCTCTCTCCTCGCCCCTCTCTGCCCCCTGGTGCTTGTCCCTCCCCTCCTCTGCCCTCCCTGTGTCTGCCCTTCTGCTCAACCCCCTCAATCCCCCTGGCACCTACCCTTTCCCTTACCCCCCGCACCCTTCCCTCCTTCCCCCTGCCCCCCCAAAAACCTGACCCTCCCCTTGTCCCCTTCCTCCCTGGTGCCTACCCCCTCACCACCCTCTGCCCCACTGACCTCACTCTCCTCTCGCCCCTCTGCCACCATCATCCATGCCACCTTCTCTTTGTTTCTCACTCTGCCCCTCCCCTCGCCCTCTGGCTCCATGACACCTGCACCCCTCAGCACCCCTCTAGTCCCCTGATGCCAACTCCTCCTCTGCCCCAAGTCCCAGCTCTACCCTTGCCCCCTCTGCCTCCCTGGTGCCTGCCATTTCCTTTGCTCCCTCTGCCCGCCTGGTGCCTGCCATTTCCTTTGCCCCCTCTGCCTCCCTGGTGCCTGCCATTTCCTTTGCCTCCTCTGCCCGCCTGGTGCAAGTCCTGTCTCTCGCCCCCCTTTGGACCCCTGGTCTCTGCCCTTCCCCTCACCTCAGCACTGCCCCGCCCCCTCCCCTCCCCCTCTCCTAATCTCTGGGTCCCACCCCTCCCTTCATCCTCCCTCTGCCCCCCCTGGTGCCCACATCTCCCTTCACACTCCTCTGCCCCCCTAGATCCTGCCCTTCTCCACACCCCTCTCTCTGCCCCCTTTGGCTCACCTGCTCCCTCACCCCCCATTCTGCCCCCCAGCACCAGTGCCTGCCCATTCGCTCCCCCCATGGTTCCACCTCCCCACGCCTCATCATCTCACCCCCTGGCAGCTCACCCTCCCCTTGACTTCCCCTGCCCCGTTGGAGCTCCCCCATTCACGCACACCCCTCTGCCCCCTGGTGCCCGCCCCTTCCCTTGCCCCCCGCAGCCCCCTGGGGTCCGTCCCCTTCTTCTCCCATGGAGCCCACCCCTCCCCCCACCCCCTTCAGCCCCCGGGATGCTGCCCTTCGCCCCCCCCTCTGTTCTTATGGTGCCTGCCCCTTCCCTTGTCCCCACATTGCCCTTGTGCTGCCCCTCCCCTCTACCCCTCCCCCCCTGCTCCTGTCACCGGCCCCTCCCCTCCCCTACCCCTCCCCCCTCTGCTCCTGTCACCTGCCCCTCCCCTCTTCCCCTCCCCCTCTGCTCCTGTCACCTGCTCCTCCCCTTTCCTCTCCCAGCATCAGCCTCTCCCCTCCCCCCTCCCGCACTGACACCTTTGCACCCCTCCCCCGCTCCTCCTGCCCCTTCCCCCCATTGTCTCCTCACAGGCAGAGGGGCCCTGACTCCCCTCAGGCAACAACCCCCCCCAGCGATTAACGGGGACGCAGGTTAATTTCCCTTCGATCCCAGTGACCAGCCCCTGCCCCCGGCCCTGACTCTGTGACTCTCTCCCCAGTGGACGTGACTCTGGATCCAGACACGGCAAATCCCCACCTCGTCCTGTCTGAGGATCAGAAATGTGTGAGACACGGAGACAGACGCCAGGATCTGCCCAACAACCCTGAGAGATTTGATCCTTGTGCCCTTGTCCTGGGCGCTGAGGGGTTCGCGGGCGGGAGGCGTTACTGGGAGGTGGGGGTGGGAGACAAGACGAGATGGATTCTGGGGGTTTGTCGGGAATCTGTGAGCAGGGAGGAGTGGGTCACACACACACCTGAGGATGGATACTGGGCCGTGCGGCTGTGGTATGGGGGATACGAGGCCCTCACCGACCCCCTAACCCCCCTCCCCGTGAGCGTCCCACCCAGCCGGGTGGGGATTTTCCTGGACTATGAGGCGGGCGAGGTCTCGTTTTACAATGTGACTGACGGGTCCCATCTCTTCACTTTTACTGACGTCTCCGGGACGCTCCGCCCTTATTTCTGTCCTGGTTACAGTGCTGGGGGTGAAAACGCGGCTCCCCTGATCATCTGCCCGGTCCCGGCTCCGGCCGGGGGGAATCTCGGTCCCTGACAGTGACCCCGCGGCACAGACCGGCCCCCCCAGCACTGCTGCTCCTCTGTGGTGGGGGCCGGTTACTGCAGCTACTGGAGTTTTTCTGCTGACCGGACGCTGCCAGTTTCCCTTTTCCACTGGAGGGTCCAGACGAAAACCAGACACCTGGCAACCCCCAGCCCTCACCTTGCCCCGTCCCCTGCCCCGGGGTAGCAGATGGTGGGGGATGGGGTCATTCACTCCTGCCAGAATTTTCTATCCCTGTGAAATCTCAGTGTAAAATAGGAAAGAAAAAAGATTATTCTAATTTAGAAAATATTATTGTAACAAGGTGTAAATACAAGAATATTTCAATTTACATTTCAACAGTATTTCAGAAACAAGCATCTAAACATATTTTTAGAAATGGAATATTTTACATTTATTTTCTGATTCTTCCCTCAAATCTGTATTGAAGTTTAACTTCTCTAAATAACGTCATTTGTATTTCCACTGTGGAATTTCAAGAAATCCAAAATATTTATCTTCACAAAATAAACTATTAAATTGTCAGACGGGGTTGTTCAGTTACAATGTACGTGTGTCATAAACATCACAACTACACACATGTGCAGCTGTTCTCTCTCTCTCTCCCCCCGGTCCTCTTTATTGTCTTGACTGGTTCTCTCTGGAAGGCAGGGCACATACACCCACCTCCTGCACTAAACCTTTGAAAATTAATAGGTGAAAAAATGATAGAATTAATGAAGCAATATATTTAAATTATCTCATACAAGATTATATAATATTCTTTGAAGTTCTGTCAGTATTAATTCACTTTCTAGCTGCACATAATCGGTAATCAAGATATGACCCTTCCTTTCTTTTTCTCACAAAACGCGGTCCCCAACCTCAAATGCTGTATTCTTAGATACCAGGGGTCGGCAACCGTTCAGAAATGGTTTGCCGAGTCTTCATTTAGTGACTCTAATTTAAGGTTTCACGTGCCAGTAATATATTTTAACATTTTTAGGAGGTCTCTTTCTATAAGTAAATTATATATAACTAAACTATTGTTGTATGTAAAGTAAATAAGTTTTTTTAAATGTTTAAGAAGCTTCATTTAAAATTAAATTAAAATACAGAGCCCCCCCCGGCCCTTGGCCAGGACCCGGGCAGTGTGAGTACCAAGCTGAAAATCAGCTTGCATGCCGCCTTTGGCATACGTTCCATAGGTTGCCTACCCCTGCTATATACAAAAATGTCTTCTACAATCTCATTTTTTTTGGTTTATTTTTCTTTAGAAATATTATTTGCAGGCAATGTACTTTGAGTGTGCACTGTTGATTTCAAAGTACTGCCAGGCTTTCCATGTTCTTGGTTATAAGGACACAACAAATGTAGTTTGAGAAAGAAATAGAGAAGGGGTTGTATTCCTTTACTGAATCATCACAAATTAACTTAATATGCTGGCACTTAATGACACATAACATGAAATTTGGTGAAGTTTTATTGGGAGACCTTTCTTCTCAGCCATAAATCAGTCGAAAGGGTGCTATTTTTGTTGTCATGTGAGGTTTAGAGTACAAAGAAAGGAAAGTTGCTCCAGGAAATTCATCACAATTCCAATGGGTTCTGTCCACCACTTTCTAGAATGCTCTGTAAAAATAGTGACCGATTGGTCCAATTCCTTGATGTTAGCGATTGAACCTAATTTCTGGAAGAGCTGGCTGAGCTGCGTGTGAGAGGAGGCACATCACATGGCATTGCTAGGACACTTTTTGTTTTAAACGTGATGTGTTATGAACATTTTCAATGTCATCATTCAGTTTTGAAGATTTATTCACAATACGCCATCCATGGCAGAGGGCCCTAAACTTACGTTGATTATTTGAAAATAAATACCCTCACATTATCTTGTGATGGATTCATTTGTGGTTTTATCAAGTCTGCTGCTGTCTAGGTGGCATGGTCTGCTGAAGCTCTGTGTCACCCCGCCATGAGTGTGTAATTGACCATCTAGTGAAAATATCACCAAATGTAAACTGTTACCTCGTTATTCAATTCCGAACCTAGATCTGCCAGTATCTGCTCTGGACAGCCATGTTAATATATCATTTCACATGTCTTCTTCTCCACCTCATGTGCTTTCATAGTTCTAAGTGGAAATTCTTCTACCTATTTTGAAAAATCATCTGTAGCTCTCAGTACATACTGGTATCGCTTCTGGGATACTGGATAGAGCCCGATTAAATCTGCTCTCAGCAATTCCCAGGTTTTAACAACCTATGTGCAACAACACAGGCGAGAGTTCTCATTTGGATCTTTCCTATGACATTTTTATTATAATCCCATCTATAGTAAGAAAAGTAAACATTATAATGTGGTTTCTGTAATAGTTGATGTCTCCACACAGTCAGAATCTAACTTTTAGTGTTTTTCAGAAGTAAATAAATACCGGACAAATTTCTGCAACTGAGAATGTGCATAAATACACCTTGCAGGGTCGGCGAGTTATATGGGCCCATGGTGCTCGTGCTCCAGCAATATTCAGAGCCCGGGAGCCAGGGTCCACCAATGTTTGGGGCCAGGTCTCTGCCCCGGCCCCATCTGCTGCCCCCATGGGCCTCCCCTGGAGTGCCCCCGGCCCCGCCAGCTGCTCCGCGCAGTGCTCCCTCACCGGCCACTGCTGGCTACAACACAGGGACCGGCGCGGGCGGCAGGCTGAGGTGGCCGCTGCGCCTACGGAGGGGGGAGAGGAGGAGGTGCACATGTGATGGCAGCCCCCCTGGCACCTACTGGGAGACGACTCCAACTCCGAGGAGGCTTCCTGGAGTCTGGACCTGAGCAGCTGGGGCATGGGTCTGTGTTGGACTCGTGCCCCCGCCCGCAGTCACCTCTCCTGCCCCACGCTTGGCAAGGTGATGCCCCATCCCCCACCCCCAGTGATGCTATGGTGACAGGCATCAGCAGGGGAGGAGGTGCACACGTGACAGCAGCCCCCCCGCCACCTTCTGTCACCCACCACAAGGGAGGCGAGGGGGCTTCCTGGACCTGAGCAGCTGGGGGTTGGGTGAGTGTCATGACACCCTGCCCTCCCCCGCCCTCCGCAGTCCCCACTCCTGCCCCAGGCTGGGCAAGGGGCAGCCCCATCCCCCACTGGACAACGACGAAAAGTGTTTGCTGCCTCCTGAAGAACATCGCAAAAGAAGGGGAGACATTTTGTTTTAATTTTATGTAAGCAGAGTCAGGATGGGCTCCACCCTGACATCTGGTGGTGAGGTGTGGCAAGTTGTGGAAAAGAACTTCAGGGGCTGATCTCATTTGCATAGGCACACCCACCTCGCCTAGAATGAGGCCATAACTGCCCAAATGGTCACTTTGGCTGTTGTGGGATCCCCAGTGTCTCTGTTATTGGGGCGGGAAGAATAAATTGTTATTATCCTGATTATGGGAACTGTGCTTGGAACTGTACTTGGCCTTTTGTTATGATGGAGGGACTCACCATCAACTGAGTAGCACTCGCTAGGCAAGGGACATGGGTTCCAAAACTCTGTGAATTGAGAGAGACTTGAGACAGGTATTAGTATGTGGTGGTGTGGGTCCATTTGTGAGGGCCTGAAGCACCAATTGCACCTCTGTCTCTCTCCACTGTAGAATGTCAGAACTAATTTTGGGTTTATTAAGAGTCTTGCTAGGGATACTGTGCTGCATTCACTTTGGCCTTATGGTGGACCAGCACTAAGGCTCCCACTACTATGAGCTGAAATCACTGAGCACTGTGTCAAGTAGTGGGGAGCCAGAAGATCTAGAGTGCAGTGGTGCTGTTTGTGGATAGGCTGGTGGAGTGTTCATGAGACAGCGAGCTGTGCAGAGCGGAGCTGGTCGTGAGACAGCGGTGTGTTCATGAGATGGTGAGCTGAGCAGAGCTGTTCGTGAGATGGCGAGCTGTGCAGAGCGGAGCCGGTCGTGGTGGAGCAGAGCCCTGTGGGGCAGTCAGCTTCAGGACACGTAAGGTGCCCCTTACCTCTTTCCCCCACACACAGGCACATTTTAGCCAACTGGGGAGTAACACTCTGCAGATGAACTTTTGAACTCTGGGGCTGGACTTTTTGGACTTTGGGTGATTTGTGGATTGCTGGACTCAAGAGACGTTTGGGTTCTGGGACTCAAGAACCCAAGGGAAAGAATGTGGCCCAATTTTCTGGGGTGGGTCTTTGCTCATGGTTTGGTTAATGAACACTAGTTGTGGTGTTTCCCCAATTTAATGCTGATGTTGTTTACCTCATGTTATTAAAGATTCTCTACTACACCAAGACTCTGTGCTTGGGAGAGGGGAAGTATTGCCTCTTTGAGGCACCCAGGGGGTGTGTAAGATTTTCCCAGGTCACTGGGTGGGGGCTCGAGCCAGTTTTGCATTTGCTTTGATGAGAGGGAACCCCTGTGTACTGAACCCGGCCCTTGCTGCTATCAACTTGGCCTGGCAGAAGGGTTACATTTAGAAAGTATTTGCTTTTGAGGGCTATTGATCCAAGAGTGCTGGGTTGTTTCTGTATTCAAAAGAGTATGAATAAAGTTGATATTCTTAGTTAAATACATATTTCTTATGACAGTGATATTGTGGAATAGAGGGAAACTGTTAAAGGCTTCCTGTTTCCAGTCCACTTTTACATTATTTTAAAAAAATATATATCGGCTTACAAGGCAGGTGTGAACGTCCCATCGGCTCCACTCTGCATCTTTAGGAGCCTAAATAACTTTGCAAATGTGGCACAGAGACTAAGGAGCAGATTTTAGAAGGTCTGTAGACACCTAAAGATGTAGCTTGGCATCTAGTGGGATTTTCAAAAGCACTTAGGTTCCTAATTCCCATTGGAAGCGAGGTGCTCAGGCACCTTTGAAAATTCCCCTGAACGACTCGGCCAGCTCACCACAGGCTGCTTCCCCCGGACAGGGTCCCACATGGGCACTTGCAATGTTTGGCCTCAGCTTTTTTTTATTATTGTGTCAAATTCAGAAAATTGCAGAATGTTCTAGGGGAGGAGACCTAAGTCCCCTCATTTTAAAGCCTCCCCCACAGCCTCTCAGAGAAGCCCAGTGGGGTCGGCTCCAGGCCTGGCTTGGGGGGATTCCCAGGTCCCCTCAGGACCAATAACTGCATGGTCTGACTCCCAAAGACAAGCCGAGCCCAGGATCCCAGTGAGTGTGATGGGGCCAGTGAGCAACAGGGAATGTCCCGGCATTTACTGCCCGAGGGACTCATTGTCCATGGCGAGGAGTGAAACAGCCACGGGGGCCAAGAGTGAGAGCGCCAGGCCCTGCTGTACGGGCTGCTTTGTGCTGCCAACTTAG